TAAGATCTTAATTAATTATATATATATTATATTTATTAATAAAATAATTTTTTAGTTTTAAATTTTATTTTGCCTAAATTTGATAAGATATTTTGCGCCAATTTTTTTCTTTAAAATAATCAGTACATAAATCTTATTGGAAAACTCTATAATAAACGGGAATATTAATTATTTAAAAAAGCAGGCAGAATATATTGATCAAAATATGATTAAAATAAATCTAAAAAATACTAAAATTTATAATAAATATAATATAAAATTAAATCGTATTACTATGCATAAAATAATATTATTTAGAGTAAATAGCGGGATGTAACCTGCGAGGCTTGGTCGGAGAAGGCTCCCTGCGACGGCGGGTAAGATGTCCCCAGCACTGCAGTCGAGACGGCGGTGCTGACCGGAATATTGAAGCCGGCGGCGTGCAACGCGGCGGCGATATTGCGCATGGCGGGTAGAACATAGTTGGCCGAGTCGCCGGGGATGACCTCGTTTCCGACATCGATGCACCGAAAATCGACAGCGGAGGCGTAGGGGGCGACGTTGGTATGAACCCATGAGGTGGCGGCCGAGGTATCGCCGGCGAGGCTCTGGAGGTCTTCGTTGTAGGTTCCGAGGATGACTTCGATGCCGGAATTTTTGAGGGCGGAGAGGGCGTTGGCGTCGGGGTAGAAAAGTCGGAGCTTTGTTATGTTGCGGGATTTGTAGAGGGAAATTACCTGCGATGGGGAAGGGAGATTGTCTCCTTTCATTCCATAGTTCACTCCGATGCCTTGCGATCCTGTTTAATTTCATAAAAATGGAATTTTTATCATCTTTTTTACAGGAAGAAACCATTGTTGCTCAGTCAAGAAAGAAAGAAGAAGAAAAATAAGATAAACTTATAATACCTGCAAGATTAATGGCGAAGGCTGAGAAGAGGAGCGAGAGAGACGCGAAACGGAGAAGAAGAAGAAGAAGACGACGTTCCATAACGGCCGTTATGCGGGCTTCTCTCCTTTCTCTTTCTGTCACTTCTTCGTAGCCTTAAATATTTATAGGAGCGAGGGAGAAGAGATAGAGAGAAAAAGGAAACTCACGAACGCAAGTTCTAACTGCCCACGACGATCACCGCCATAATGTAATTAATTAGCATAATACTCACTAATAATTCATATTTATAGATAAATATATTATAATCATCCAAATATTCAAATACAAAAAACAAATCAATCAAAATTTAGCCTCTATATAGTACAGCTTTTTTACTGCTTTCTAAAGCAAATTTTTAGTATAAAAATTCAGCTTTGAAAAACATTAAGAAAGCCACACCAAACGAATACTTAATTCGAATTTATTTGATCGAATTGGTGATGATGTGAAGACAGACTCAAAAGGAGAAATTATTCTGTGTGGAGTCCAGATGGAAAGAACCGTATAAATTTGTTGTGTATTTATAAATACTCAGTTGTGAGTATTTCCATAGTATTTGTTGAATATTTGTTGAGTATTTGCTTAGTGTTTGTTAAGTATTTGCTGAATATTTACAAATACGTAGCACATACGCAGCAATATTGACGATTCTTCCCGTCAGGACTCCGCACAGAATAATTTCTTCTCAAAAGATGAAGAAGCTTTGTTGGATTTGGAAGATGGGAGCTCCTTTGAATTTTTGTATTTCATTATTTCATGTGTCTTTCATTATCATTTTTGCATATTATAATTAAAATTTTGACAATATAAGTCTTGACGAATCCATCTTGAAATAAGTAAAATACATAGGTTATTAATATCACACTCATCTTAAAGCAAATCTTACAACTGCAAAATCCATCATAATTATTTTTTTATCATGATACCTTTACATAATTTTTTTTCTTTTTTAAAAGATTATAATAAAAAAACAAGGTCACAAATGCAAAAGAAAATTTCCCATCGACCTAAGTATCTTGGAACATTTATTTCATGAATTTATTATTTTTTGAAAATGCAAGAAGAGGCTTATTAGGTCAAGTAAATTAGTTGTTGACCTACCAACATCAACTACTAAACTAACCTAATCTCAATAAATAAGTAACCTTTCTCTCAATAGCCTAAGTCATCAAAAGTCTATCTCAACATAAACTTTATATTAAAATAGGTCTTAAGCAAATATAAATATATATTACTTATTTACGAAAAAAAAAATAGTAAGAGTCAGTTTAACATGATAAATTATTGTGCGGACACCAGAAAACATCTGGAGGCCAATCAGAACGCGGCACGTCACTTTTTTACTCGGTACCAGGATTGGTTATTGTTAGGAAACGAGTGACGTGGCGCATTCTCGTTGGCCTACAGACCACCTGGTGTCCGCACAGAATAATTTCTCTCTTGAGACAGCTTTCTCATTATTTTGTTTTTCAGACTACAATGATAGTCCCATTTAGGGGTGTCAATTCGGGTCAGCGGGTCGGGTTCGGGTCGAACGCGGAACTGACCCGGCACTGTTCAGGTCAACCCGAACCCGACCCGTTTTTAAAAAAGGGTCAGGTTTCTGGACCCAAACCCGACCCGATTCGGGTCCGAGTCAACCCGACCCGACACGAATGACCCGAAGTTGACCTAAAATTGCTAATTTTCGGGTCAGTATTCGATTTTCGGGTCAAAATCGGGTCAAAAACGAGTCAATCTCGGGTTCTCGTGTCAAATATGAGTTTTCGTGTCACTTTCGGGTCAATTTCGGGTTGCTGGGTCAACCTGAACCAGACTCGATTTTTAAAACGGGTTGATTTGTTCAACCCGAACCCGACCCGTTCGGGTTCGGGTTGACCCGAACCCGGATTTTTCCGAGTTGAATTCAGGTCGTGTAAAAAATTGACATCCCTAGTCCCGTTTAAGTATTCTTTTCTCGCTATTTTACAAAAACTTATACAGTGAAGAGCTGCTTTTACAATCATAGTTGGGCTTCATTAGGGGCAGATTTCTTACGGTTGTCTAAAATATTTTCTAGCACAAAAATTTATAATTAAAAAAAAAATTATACAAAATAGCTAATTTAGACATTAGTAAGAAAGTTGTTCCAAATAAAGTCTTACTAATATGTGAGCAACTATTTGATTTTTTAAGAAAAGGAGAATGTTTATAATATTCCGAACAACTTTCAAAAAAGTTATTTTCTCCGCAATAACTTTATAATAATCTATACAAAATACTTCAATCATCCCAAATAAATCTTAAAATTGTAAATGCAAATTAAGCATATATTAAATTGGAAATGCCACATCACATTAAGATAATGTCAAAAGGATTAGGTGATATAATTAACACATATAATGACTTTTAATTTGTTGCTTCCATGCATGTCGGCCGCCAAAGCTTTTTGTTAATTAGTAATTAATTTTAATGACGCAATTATAGATGAAGACATAAGCATGCAGTTGTTAATTAATTGTCGTGTTTATTAAGGCAATTAATCATTAATTTATCATTAATTACGCTGCTCAGCGTTTGAGCGTACACGATGGTGCATCTTAGTTGTCCATAACAAGTAAGACATAAAATTTTAAGATTGGGAAATAACAAAGTAGTTCAACAACTTTATATTTTATATTTTCATTAAATAATTATTTTATTTTATTTTTATGTGCAGCTTCAAGCATGATATTATCATGAAAAAAATATATTTTTTTATATATAAATAGATAAGATTGTACAAACCAATCTTGTCATCTTTTTATTTGATATTTTAATTAATTTTTAAATATTGATTGGGATAATTTGTAGATTATTTTAGTATTTATGTTCTTTCTTTCATCAAGGGCTTTTATTAATGCAAAGACTTGATTGATGGTAAGGTCATAACTATTTTATTAATTTGATCAAATATATTATAAAAGGCGGTTAGAAGTTGAAATAAATGATTCAAAAGTAGAAGAAATTATTATGTTTGAGTCTGGATTGCGTTCAGATTCCAATCAAAACCGGTCACGTCATTTATACACAGTGTGTGTACAAGCTGACGCGTCATGTTCTGATTAGAGTCTAGATGTAAGCTATGTCCGGACTCCGCACGTAATAATTTCTCCAAAAGTAGAAGTGTTAGAACGGGTTAATGAGTAGAGATTGGGATAGATCCTGAATTGACTTAACCAAATTCGATCAATCTGAAGTTGTCCCGTTTCGTAAACATGACAAAAAGATGGATCTAAACTTGACCCATTATAAACCCAAATGATACGAATTTGATTCGATAACTCGATTTGATTAAAAATATATATAACTTATTAACCATAAATTTTAAGTTAACTGATCAAAAATAAAAAGATCATGTTGACAAACAAAAGAACTTAAGGAAAAAAATACTAAATAGATCACTTGTGGATCAAAATTGGATTGACGGGCCAATCCAAATCCAACATGTTCAATAATCAGATCAGAGTTCCGAATCAGAACCCAAATTTCTCGAATTGTGTTGTTAGGTCGGATCATATATTAATAGCCCTACCAAAAAAAAAAAAAACAATTACATTTATGGTGTATGATATTGTGTCCTCTAAAGCAGATGTAAAAGCTGTATGTCCTCCTCCAAAATCATAATATCATCATATTGGATGCCTAATTATAACCATACATAAATTGATTGGCTATCATCTTAGCCCCTAACCCCCCCAACAATAAAAAAATTTGCAAATCCCAAAATAAAATTTTCCATAAAAACCTTTCAGCAACCAAAATAATCCAATATTATAAGCCATAGTGTGAAGAGAGAGAGCAGACATATTATGCATTGAAAGCCAATAATCTAATAAATAATCGACTCATTAATTATTTCTGTAAGAGGAGGATCCAACGAAAAGAAAATATGAAGAGAGAGAGAGAGAGAGAGAGAGAGAGAGAGAGAGAGAGAGAGAGAGAGAGAGAGAGAGAGCCAATAACGTACGCTTCGTTGACAAATTATACAGCCATCAATACGTCTATATTGTCTTTTTCTTTTATTGTTAATTGGTCTCAATCATAGATCTTTGATTGGATATGTTAGGGTTTTGTTAGTTATCAATCCATCATATTCAGTGTAGGATTTGCAATTATTATTAAAGATTTGGGTAGATTGAATATAGCCGGTTGAGCTATGGTTATTCGTATTTGTTTTCAACATATGTTCTAAATTAGGGGTAGGGGTAGGGACAGACTGAGTAGATGAGGGTTGCAAGGTCTGATTTAGGGCAAATTATTACATCCGGTCATCAAACGCGGAGATATGTTCGGATATTAATAAAATATTATTTAAATTAAGCACAGGAAAAGAGCAGGTAAGTCGCATGCAAAGTGCAGTTAAAGCGCACCTAAAGCGCAGTCAAACCGCAGGTGGCATGGCAAGTTTTAATTGAATGCCCGAACCTAATAATTTGCCCTGATTTAGAATATATATATATATATATATAGTCAGTCGTTCTAAACTAATTTTGTCTGTCAAAAATTAAATAAACATTTATAAGAAGCTTGGAAAAAAATTGATAAATTTAAACAATTCAGTTAATAATTATCAAATTTTTTTGTGAAATATAATTTATAATTTAAACCAAACAAATGTATTCAGCATATGGATCTGACTCTAGAACTTAAGTAGAAGAGAAACATTTTAATGAGCTGTCTCCTTCCATCGAAGTGATAAGCTAATATAATAAAACATTGAAAGCGTCAAAGTATCTAAACAAAATTTTATTCTTATGGAAAAGATTAGGGGAATAACCAAGCAAAATATTCAAATGAGAATAAAGGCCACGTGATCAAGGGGGGGAAGAAGGGAAGGAGGAGAAAACAGAGATGGGCAAGGAGTTAGGAAATTTGGAATCTTAGATGTGGTTATGCGAGAGATGCGGCGACTCTTTTGCCTGCTTGCTTTCTTCTCTTTCTACCCTTCAAAATTCTCTCTCTTCTATATTTCTTGTCTCATGCCAGCTAACACTCCAGACAAATAAAATAAGCCAGTGCCGACAAAAAGCAGCCTATTCATGTATTTATACGTATGACCTGATTGCCTTCCAAAAATATTGAACGGCCTTGATCAAGACATATATCTTCATTAGATATCTTGGATAATTTGGTGATCCTCTCCTCACAATCTCACATCAACATTGAATTTAGGATTTTCAGTATCATACATGATAGATGATAGAGAAAGCTTATATAAGTTCTTATAGAAGCCGATTTAGTACCCCTCCTAATTCTATTCTACTAATTTTTTTTTTCAAAAAATATTAATATTCAAATTTAGCTATTTTTGCAGCCTATAAATCTCCTCAACACTGTGAAATCTTGAGTATTACAACAACTCCCAGTTTTCAAGGCAATCTTATTTAAGTTCTGCTTTATATATTGCAAACCTTCCATACAGAAGGGAAGAAGTTTCTTCTCTTTTTGCTTAATCCTTCTCATCTTCTCTTATGGCACTTGTCAATATGCATGGGCTTGATCTTTCATATCTTGAGCATTTAGCCTTCAAAAGCAAACACGACTTTATGCTTGAGGAAGAAGGGTGCACCAAAAACTATCCTTCAGTACTCCCAGCCCTCTCTGATCAAAGCAACATGCGTGACAATAGCTCTCTTATGTTTCTGGAAACAATCTCTTCATCTCAAGAAGCTCAAACTGTTTTCAACATCAAGGTTGGTGCCGACCACTGGATGCAATCCAACTCTTCAGTTCTTAGTTTTGAACAAAAGTTTGGTTTTGGAGAGAATTGTATTAATTGGGTTGAACCTATGGACTATGACTATGAAATGTACCCCTCAAACTTAAGGGAAAATTCTATAAGATGGTAGTGAGGCCTACAATGATTTATGGTGCCGAATGTTGGCCATTAAAAGAGAAGCATAATACTAAGTTAAGTGTGGCATAGATGAGGATGCTCAGGTGGATGAGTGGCTTTACCCTTAGAGATAGGATACAAAATGAGCATATACGTGGAAAGGTTGGAGTAGCTCCAGTAGAAGATAAGATTAGAGAGAGTCGCCTTAGATGGTTTTGGTCGCATAAAACGACGGCCTTCCGATGACCCGGTTAGGAGAGTAGAGGTATTAGATTTGACTTATGTTAAGAAAGGTAGGGGTAAACCTAAAAAGACATGGTTATAAAATATTAGGAATGACATTTCTTTATTAGATTTAAACAAGAATTTGACTTTTAGTAGGACACAATGGAAAAAAAAGATTCATGTAGCTGACCCCACGTGGTGGGCTAAAGGCTTGATGTTGTTGTTGTTGTATCAGCATGAAATTCATGTTGATCAAATGAATTTTCATATCAAAAGAAATTTTACTTTATTTCAAACTATATTTCAAATCAAATAAACATAGATTATAAATTAATAATTTATTTATTTATTTACTAGGGTTTAATGTGCTCATGACTGAATCTCTTAGATTTTATTTGAAACGGCTTTCTTATTTCTTCTTAAAGTAGATTTTTAATAATTTTTTTTTATTTTTATACTAAAAATTTATTTTAAGAAGCAGTTATAAAACCGTTCCAAACGAAACCTTATACTCCATCTGCCAAAGAAAAAACCAAATACTTGTCAAAATACAATTATATGAGAATCTGATGAAAATAAAAAATGACAAGAATAACCTAATAAAACAAAAAAATAATAATTTAAATAACATTTTTTTATTACAGAAGAGCCCCTCTGGCTCATCCATCCCCTTAAATAATTTTTAAACATACCATGTAGCTTGAAGATTAGAAACAAAGAATGGAAGTAGAAAAGGACTTCCCTTAGCTTTAAAGATAATTAAGCTAATTAATTACTAGGATAAAAATAAAAATAAAATAGAAAATTGCATTTGTTTCCTTATTTAAAATAATGTTATGAGATATAGGCTTCGTTTGGCAGAGCTTTCATACTAGACTTCTACGCTTTGGATGCGGCAACTAAAATAATTTCCTTAACAAAGCTGTAGAAAAATGGGTAAATCTGGTCAGTGTTCTTAGTATTATAATCGTGTTGTTATCTAGAAGATTCTGAACTTGATATGATGCTACAAATAAAGGAATTTAATTAAGCATATTGGGTTTAATATCTCACAAGGTGGTTTGATCAAGTATTTTCCTATTTCGATTGGATTGCATCAAGAATCAGCCTTAAGCCCATATCTTTTTGCTTTAGTCATTGTTCGTTCTCACTAGACATTTGCAAGAAGATGTACTTTGGTGTATGTTTTTTGCTGATGATATTCTTCTTGTTCTTGTTGATAAGTTTAGAGAGGGAGTTGAAGGTAAACTTGAATTATGGAGGTCAACCTTAGAGTCTAAAGGTTTTCGCTTGAGTAGATCTAAAACTGAATATATGGAGTATAATTTTAGTAGCAATAAACCTAGTTAGAGGATTGTGACTTTGGACGATCAAGTCATTAATAAGAGTACACGTTTTAGATATCATGGATTTATTGTTCAGAGTGATGGTGAAATAGATGGGGATATTATCAGCAGAATTCAAGTTTGATGGTTGAAGTGGAGGAAAGCATCGGGCTTGTTGTGGATAGAAAAGTCTCCCTCCAACTTAAGGGAAAATTCTATAAGATGGTGGTGAGACCTGCAATGCTTTATGGTGTCGAATGTTGGTCATTAAAAGAGAAGCATAATACTAAGTTAAGTGTTGCAGAGATGAGGATGCTTAGGTGGATGATTGGCTTTACCCTTAGAGATACGATACGAAATGAGTATATACGTGAAAAGATTGGAGTAGCTCTAGTGGAAGATAAGATTAGAGAGAGATACCTTATAGATGGTTTGGTCACATTAAACGGAGGTCTTCCAATGACTCGGTTAAGAAAGTTGAGGTAATAGATTTGACTTATGTTAAGAAAGGTAGAGACAGACCTAAAAGACTTAATTAGAAAATATTAGAAATGATCTTTTTTTATTAGATTTAAATGAGAATTTGACTTTTAACAATGACAAAAAAAGATTCATGTAACCGACCCTACGTAGTGCGACAAAGGCTTGATGTTGTTGTTGTTGTTGTTGGTTTAGTATCTCACAAGTTATGAGTATTGCATTATGAAAGATATGAAAATGCATTGGAAGGATAATAAATAGTTTTAATGCATTAAAATCAAAGAAAAAAAATGCCAGATCTAAGACTGATTATTTGATTGATATAGACTGTTCAACTCACCAAAAATGGAGGAAGCATGAGAATGGATATTGTTGGTGGTGTTGATGATGATGATGATGATGATGAAGATGATAATGCTATGTTGGAAGCTTATTGTAGATAAGTGATTTAGGAAAAAAAAGATCGATATATAATGACTTAAATTTGATCAGGATGAGATTTCTAGTCATTAAATTTATTTTACGATAAGTGTATTATAAAAATTAATTATTACACTCATCTCAATATAAATTAAGAAGTAAAAGTTACATTTTAATCAAATTTAAGTTAGGATATCCTAACCGGAATTGTCTCAATTGAATTATAGAGTTAGGCTTCGTTTGGAACAGCTTTCTTGTTGCTTCTTAAAGCAGCTTTCTAGTATAAAAATTTAATTTTTGTACTAAAAAATTACTTTAAGAAGTAACAAAAAAGCCGTCCTAAACAAAACCTTAATCTCAACGAGTAATAGGCTTTCTTTGGGACAGCTGGTTGGTAACTAATTTTTCGCCGCTTTTAAAAATTTTTTGTGCTAAACAATTACTTTCTATAACAGCTTTAAAAGATTACTTTCTCTACGACAATTTACAAAACAGTAAGAAAGTTTCTCAAATGAAACCTTAGTCACAACAAACAAAGGTTTGCACAGCCTAACCTAATTCCTCTTTCAGAGTAGATCTATAGGCATGATGAAATTCCTACTTGAAGTCTTAAGTGAAAACACACAAGGGAAATGTGAACAAGGTAATTTTCTTGGTCTAAGAACCCTAGACACTTCAATATGCCTTTCATAGACAAATCTAGAAAATTGGGGGGAACCAAAAAAAATAAAAAAATCTCCTGATATTGGGATATAAAATATATATGCTCACATCAATGAATGTTTTTTCTTTTTGTTTTTTAATAAAAGATGATGGAAGAACGACAACATGGAATATGCTGAGAATCAAGAAAAACAAAAGAAGAAGTTTAGCAAACTTGACCTTTTAAATCCTCATAAAATTGTCTCATCTTACAATACCCATAAGTATCAGATATATCTGGTTCAAGTTATATAGAAAATAGAGGAAGGAGTTTAACAGCTAAGACAAGTAGATCGTGGCAGAGAAGAGCATACCAGAAAGATTGTGATCGGCTAAAGCTGAGCTATCCCAAGTCAGGTCGGTCTAAGTTCCCGGGCATGGCGGCGGATGTGATCGTCTATAAGGCCGGTCTAAGTTCCCGGGCATGGTGGTGGACATGATCGTCGATGAAGGTTGCTATAAAGTAGTATGAATGGTCGTAGCCAGGCTGCATTCTCAGTGCCACTGGAGCGTTGACCCTCTTAGAGGCCTCCACAAAATTGTGACTCAGAAGCTGATCTTTCAAGAACTTGTCATCCTCTCCCTGTTCATGGCATCAAATCCATCAGCCGATTGAGGCGTAGTTTGGGACAACTTTTTTGTTGCTTCTTAAAGCAATTTTCTAGTATAAAAATTTTAATTTTCTTACTAAAAAGCTGTTTTAAGAAGTAACAAAAAAACCGTCCCAAACGAAGCCTGAAATTAGCTGGTCCAAAATATATTCACTGGACAATGGTAAAGCTCATTCAAGGATGTTTCTTACTTAAGGAATATGGTAAGATGTGCAGTCTAACAATCATTCTAATATTCATTTCAATGGGAGAATTAATAAGCTACTTGTTTGAACTTTGAAGAATACAAAAGTTGCATTTTGATGAGAGGAAGGTGAAGGAAATGAAATGAAATGAATACATTATTATCATATTTGTAACTTCTAAAATTGCTTCCAATCAAATTCCTACATAAAACCAAAAACTAAATATTTCATTCTATGAGTTTCGATAATTTTTAGCACAATTGCATAAATATATGTTTTTAATTAGTAGGCATGGTGGGCCATGGCCATTTGGAAAAGCATTCTCTCCTTGAACTCGTTGTGGCTGCACAACCCATGCCTACCTCAGCAGAGCTCCTCTCTTACGATTGTTGGCACTTTCACCCCTACATGAATAGGCCATTTTGTTCGAGGATTGTGATCTTTGTGTTTAGGAGTCTCAAATATCCATGTTTGTTCACGGTGCAGATTTCTACTTTGGTTCAATTGCCCCCTTCCCCATCCCTCTCGAGGATTGTGATCTTTGAGTTTTGGAGTCTCAAATATCCATGTTTGTTTCCTGTGTCGATTTCTACTTTAGTTCAATTGCCCCCTTCCCCGCCCCTCTCAAGAATTGTGATCTTTGTGTTTAGGTGTCTCAAAGATCTATGTTTGTTTCCTGTATCGATTTTTAGTTCAATCGCTCCCCCCACAACCCCACCCCCCAAAAAAAAAAAAAAACCAGCAAAAAATACATTTATCTCTTTCATTTGTATTATATGTTCCCAAATTTCTTGTAAATTTACTTTTAATTCATTTTCATAGTTACACTCACAATTGCTTTGTACCCTTCAATCTCTCTTATTATGTATTTCAGGATATCAATTTTTAGAAGAGATTTGGTGGATCTATTGAAGCTAGTGGAATCTGCTTTCTAATCCTTGAGGTCATATCAGTCTTCTTATCCACCATCACTCCATAGCAATGGCATTATTAGTAGATTCATCCTCCACCAATTGACTTCAAGAGTTTCTTCTCAACTCCTTCAACCCACTTTACGGTTGAATATAATTTTTATGAGCTTAGTAAACATCAGCGGGTTTCTCTTCCATCTTCCACATCTCGTCCTAGTAATATTTCTTTTGAATTAATCCATTTGAATATTTAGGGTCCAAGTTCTATCCTTACCCTACCTAGGCCTCAAATCCTTCTTATTGATGATCACTCTCGAGTTACCTAAGTATAATTAATTATTTATTAAGTGTCTATGTGATGTTTTTTTATATTCCACACATTTTTTCATAAAATCAATATTCATTATTCTACTATGAATAGGGCTCCTCAGGCCAATAATGCTTTAGAATTTATTCAATCTCAATTCAAATCATTTTATACTAATAATGAATCATTTATCAAATCTCATGTTCCTATATGTCTCAATAAAATGATGTGTTAAATGCAAACTTCGTCATTTATCTGATGTGGCCCAAATATTGATGTTTCATATGAATGTTCATGGCAACTCTAGGGCAACATCACATTGACTAGCTTTTATCTTAATAATTGGATCCCTTGAACAATTCTTGGTAATGTCATCGCCTCTCTATCTTGAATCTTGGGCAATCCTTTCCTCTTACACCTAAAATTTTTTGCTCTCTATTTTGTTTGTTCCATTTGTACTAGTGCCAAATGTCTCACAGGCCATTCGGTGCGTCTTTCTGGGCTACTCGATTCTTAAAATATTATAATTGTTATGACCCCCACCACTCATTATATTGATACGTTCACATATGTCACCTTTCATGAATTCACTCCCTACTTCACATCTTGACCTAAATCATCCACTTCACCTATTCATCTTCCTCCTAAAGCCACCATACCAATTCTCCTCGTCTCTAGGCATAAACACATCAGCACCGCCTGCCATCTACACACCTCCATCCACATTGTCCGACACGATTTAGCATCCTCATCTTGGAGACTTTTGTAATCTTCATATGGTTGTCCCTTCATAAAGGTAAAATACATTGCATTGATCATCTTATTCAATCTTATATGTCTTTTGACCATCTTTTTTTTTCAGCTTTTAGTATTTTGTCATATCTTTGTTATTAATTTCTATTCCTAGGACACCTGGAGGCCTTACAAAATATTTAGTGAAAATAGCCTAAGGATATTTAAGAGTTTGTCTTGCTTAATCAACAAACATGGAATATCGTGACCCAAATCAAAACCATCAAGTTTCTTCTAAAAGACTCCGGTGATTGATATAAGGCTTATCTAGCACCAAAAAATTTCACATACTTTTTCTCCAATTGCCCACCTCAATTTTATTTGGATTCTTTTATTTTTTACCAACAATCAAGACTACTAGCCTTTACTTAACATAGATATCAATAATGCCTTCCACTATCATGATCTCAGTAAAGTTGCATGCATGGAGTAATCAGCTAGATATATTGCTCAAGGAAAAAACTAAAATATCAAAACTCAATACAGCCATATATGAACTTAAGCAAAGCTTTTGAGCATGGTTCAATAAATTCAGTAAAGTTCTTGTTGAGGTCAGCCTACACAACAACATAACAAATCACTCCATCTTCTTCTGACACAATTCATCTGTTTATGTTATCCTGTCAATCTAATTTATTAATAACAATATTACTAGAGTAATTAGAACGGATTTATTGATGTGGAGTTATTGATGTAAAACACCACCTACATTTTTTTTTTTTTTTGACTAAAGATACAGAGGAGTCACCAACCACATATTTCTTTTTGTTGTTTGAGTTTTTAAGTTATATAGGCAAACTTTCAGATAAGAATATAATAAGGTTGTTCCAAATATCCTCAAAATTATTATAAAAAAAAAACGCCAAGAAAATGAGTTCTATATAAGAAGAATGGATATCTTATTGTGAAAATCTTTCTTCGATGTTGATTATATTGAGCCCCTTGATGATAGAAAATTCACATATGGGCGTTGTAACTTTGTGGAAAGTAATTCAGTCACAAAAAAGATCAAGAAACAAGCAGTTGTGGCCAGGTCAAGTAGTAAGGAAGAGTTCAGAGTCCTGATACATTCTACATGTGAGATGATGTAAGTTAATACCCTAATAGGGGGCAATTAATTTTTCAATTACTTAACTTATGATCTAAATTGGCACTTACATGACAGCTCTGAGGCAGTGAAACAATTCATTGTCTTCATGATATAATTAAGTACTTTTATCATATGAACATCTTGGATGGTTAAATTCTTTTAGATAATCCTAGGAAGGATACATGATAATCTTTCCTTCACTGTAGTACATTTTTACATTCAACATTGGCTTGTGTTGAAAATTGGTGTTAAGAACTGAATTCATTGATAGTGAGCAGTCTGTATTTGCAATTAGCATTAAAATGGTCTTGCATATTTCTTTGCAAACCCGGCCCTAAAAAATGTACCCTTAAAAGTCCCCTTTGGTTAAATTCCATGCAAGTTGGTCTAACTCAACAAAATTTGAAGGCAAGTTGTCCTAGTTATAGAAGTCAACCTACTAAAGTCGCCAGAGTTGAAACAAATTAGCCATCATAATATTCAATTTTTCACTTTACACTGAACAAATTAGCCATCATAATATTCAATTTCTCACTTTACACTGAAATCGACCGAAGAAACTTCTTAGAAAGTTGTGTAAGCGTATTCGCTCAAGGCTATTCTCCCAAGGGTACTCGTTTATGGGAACTCACTCAAGGCTTTTCTCTGAAAGCTCGAGACTTCTTGCTCAAGTATTGAAGCTACTCGCTGTTGCGGATCAATGGTTTATGATTTTGATGATAGCAAACATTCCTTATTTCTCTACGATTGCCTTTTGTGCTAACGTTTCAGGTCCACACGATCAGACTGCAATTTGGAACCAGCTCAAGATTGGGTAGACTAGGTCTGAACTTAGCACTCTCACTCGCCAGCATCTACCAGATTCAGCAAGAGATTTCTCAAGGATTTGCTTTCACAATTAACATAGGCGGTTATATATTCATTTGCCAGACGCATTACGTATTTTTACATAAAGAGCTTGTTATACCTTGCTATATATTTGTTTATTTGTATGGTTCAAATGAAGCATTTTCTACAACACTTTACCTTAATCCATTCATATAAATAAGTGGTCAGAGGATAAGCCTGGGATAGGAGATCACTTGTACATAAACATGTATTATTACAATCTAGAGAAATTCCAAAGCTTCTCTATAGATTTTCTATCTCTCACTAATCTTTCTCTTATTAAATTGTGCATTTTTATTAGTAAGTTTTTCATGTTGCCCGTAGACGAATTTATATCCAACAAATATGGTTGTTGTATCAGTAGACTTAATATAAACATTCTTGATTCTTTATAAGTCCACTATTCTTGATGCCCGCACATAAACTCTTCAATATTCAGATGAATTAACTTGCTTTTTATAAGAGAAAAATAAAACTTAACAAAAGAAAACCAATCATTTGGCTAATTAAAGAATAGCCTAGCTTTCTTCAAATTTCATCATAATACTTTTTGGTACTAACATTCACCAAAATTTCCATTAGAAATTTACTTGCTAAATATATTTCTTTAAGGAATTACCTACAAAAAGGAACTAGTCAACCGCAAACCTCAATTCTTCTATGAAAGTTGCCCATTAACTCTCAAAGTAATAATGGACAAATAAACAAATATGTTGATTTTTTCTAATAGATTTCCATGCAAAAATTTTGCAATTCATGGTAAATGTTTAATGACAGAGCCCTCTTATCACAAGGACCTTTGAGCTGATAAATCTTGGCTATTACAGATCTCTTGAACAAAAAGATGACATTAAATAACAAAACCAATTATAATCCATTAGTATATATATTATCTACCTGGTCGATCAGGATTTGAGAAGAAAATTTATTGTATTTAGCAATCAGGCAAGTGGCATCATACACCTGCAATCAAGCAATAACTTTATGAAGATTCTAAAACAAGAAGCCATGAATTAAAAAAAATGCAACATCAAAATTTTGTCATAGAATGAATAATACTTGCCTCCCAATCTAACTTATCGCCTCCAAGATAGTTTGAAAAAGCCTTTTGACCCCAAGGGCAGTTTATTGGATTCACAATAGGTGAAAAGGCAGACACTGACTGGAGCATGTAAAAAAGTTAAAGCCTCAAGCATATCAAAAGCAAAAGCAATAGTAATAAAACAGTAACATAAATAGATCTCTCAAGAAAAGTTAACCCTCCCTATAAGCCTCCTTGATGTGTAACAGATGAGAAGACTCGAAGGTAATTTTCCTTGAGGTATACGAGGTTTGATTTGACCATATTTAACTTAATATTTAGACCCAAAGTTTATTTAGATTAGAGTTCAAGACTTCCTAATTAATTATCCATCTTGCTCACAATAAAGCACTCTCAATTAAAGATGTTATTTAGACTCAACTTCAGGGTTAAATTTAACATTTAGAAGTGAACTTAATTTTGTGCGGAATTGTTGGGGTGATGGAGGTAGGCTTGATCAAGATTTAATGATTATGCCATCCCAGGGATTAGTGAACCCAATTTGCCAAAGTTAGAGGGCACAGAACTATAACATTTAGGGAGTATGAATAGCAAGGTTTCCTAGCTCTCGCGTATCTCAAGCAGAAGAGAGTGAAATTGCATGTGCGTGTGCTGAAGATTGCTTTTGAGATTAGCATCGACTCCTTTACGAGTTGAGAGCTGGTTGTACAACTTTCACTAAATATTTTACCGATGCAAAACATGATCTCTCACGGTTCGTAGGAGTTCAACGTGACAAACAATAGATTAGAAAAATGAAATGACAATCAATTATTCGCAGGCTTCATATTGACTCAAGGAAGCTTGCCTAAGTCACATTGAGCTTTAAGTTGATTTGATTTGGTTTTATTAATGAGCCTCTAAGCATGAGGGTTGGCCTTGATTAATTTGGGTTGCGGTTCATATCCATTAGAAGAATTGTTGCAATTAGAGGAACGCATTAATTCAATTTTGAATAAAAAAATGCTATGAGTATGACTTACGTTAGCCTGATAAGGCCTATGCCTTAGTGGGACTGAGGCGCGCTTTCGTACAATTTATAAGAGTAAGTCTTAAAAACAAGGGCTCAATTAATTTAAATTGCAAGAGTAAGATATCAAATATAGACTTCTTTGATGGAGGAAGAAACAAATCCACATAAGTCAACTAAAAAAAAAAATGTTAGTCTAAATTTTTACATAATAGAATTATAATCATCAATATAGCCATTTTTAATTTTAATTAGTATTCTTCTTAGTTTTTATTGTTTAAGAAACAAGAAGATGGTTGAGATTGAAGAAGATGAGGAAGATTGGGACAATATTGACAATGCTAGGGATGAAAGGGAAGATAGATCAATTTAACTATAATGATAATTCTAATGAAGGACCTCCAAGTGATGAGAATGGGAGAGACTTTTGAATTCATAAATAATGATATACGTTACTCATACTACTATTTATATTGAATTGGGAGCAAGATTGACTTGTTATAATCTTACTTTGATGTTAGTATGTTATTTATTATTTCATATTTTTATTAATTTAGTGATTTAACCAGAGGCTTATGGGTTAAAATGTCTTGAGGCCTACGGCCATATCTACTATACAGAAAATGCCTCAACACCTGATTGCTCAATTTTAAAACTTGAATCGAATTAATTTGGATTGGAACTTAAATATGTTGGAAGACATTAATTGCAATGAATCTTACATCCATTGGAAAGCACAAAAGTAATACTTAAAACCATAATGACGAAGAAAACCAAAAGATGGGTCTTACAATCTTACCCTATGGGTATGGTGGCCCGATTAATTAAGTTTAGTTTGACTTTCTCCTAATATTTGGAATCAGTTTGATATGCCCTCATGTGGGACTTTGGAATCAACCAAATAGTGAATCAAATTACATTACCCCATAGCAAAAGCATCCCAATTAATTAAATTCGGATTTAATTTCGATGTAACACATATTTTAGAGTACATATTGTGGTGATAACTCATTATGATCCTCTGATCAATTGGGAAATAAATTAAATAATAAAATCAAATTCAAGTCTTTAAGCTAGTCTTCCACTTTAATAAAACTAATTTTTAATGTCTTTTAAGTTAGGATTATAATAATTTAGGCCTTGGGATGTTATTTGGATGATTTTACCATAGTATTGGAATGTAAAAACATCTAGGTTAGTCAGGGGTCTATTGGTACCCTTCATCATTTGAGATTGTTTCAAAGTAGAAGGTATATTAACATATTCATCCTTTTTGTTGGGAGGCTTCTCAGCACACTTGAAAACATGTGTGAGTCCTTTATAGACATTTGTGTATTGCATAATATCTCATGATTATTCGAACAAATCATTGAGAAGTTTGGGTCTTTGGGGTTCTACATGCTTTGGGGTGTACATGTTTTACAATATGTAAATATGGTTAATTAGGCATTAGTATCGATTGGTGTTCTTGTACAATTCAAATCTCTTTTTTAAACTCAAATTATTGTTTTGACTAAGAGAGTGATCCCATGGAATTTATAGCAAAGGTTCTAACAATAAACATCAAGTCAATTAGCAAAATGTTCATAGTTGATTTAAAGCACCTAATGTCATTAAAATTTTGAGATTAAAAACAAACTATATTTATTATTGCATCCTGGAATATTTGCGGCAGTGGAGAGATACAAAGATTAACATCTTAGTTTTGTAGGAAGATCCAGTACACAAATAGATAAAAGATAGATGTGTAGTGTTCATAAGAGACACCAAGATTTTTACGTAGAAAACCCTGAAAAGGGAAAAAAACCACGAGACCTGGCCCAATTTGAATGAATCCACAAGTGTTTGCAATATTACAAATGAGACCCTTCCATAGGGGGGAGACCTTGGCTCGATGTAGCCAATACACATTATATAGAGTGCATTACATGGTGGGAGTTGGAAGAATTAGTGTTGGCATGTTCGCTTGGTTGGCAGAACCATAGTCAACGAGCGATGTAGGTTGGAATAGCTATAGTCAGGCGACGGTGGTCGAAAGGACCATAGTTAAACAATGGAGGTCAGAAAATCTGTAGTCGGGTGACGGAGGTCGGAAAGACCATAGTCAAGCGATGATGGTCGAAAAGAACGTAGTCGAGCAACAATGGTCGGAAAGACTATAGTCGGCAGGAAACAGTGGTCGAAAAGACTGTAGTCGGGTGACGGTGATCGGAAGGACTGTAGTTAGCGAGCGATGGAGGTTGGAAAGACCGTATGGGTCGGGTGATGGCGATCAGAATGACCGTAGTCGGCGAGCGACGGAGGTCAGAAAAGACTGTAGTTAGGTGATGGTGGTCAGAAGGACCGTAGTCGGCGAGCAAATGAGGTTGAAAAGATCGTAGTCCCGTAGTTGGGCACCGGTGGTCGGAAGGACCGTAGTCAGGCGACGGTGGTCAGAGAGATTGTAGTCAGGCAATGGTGGTCGAAAAGATCATAGTTGGCGAGCAACGATGGTCGGAAAGACCGTAGTCGGAGATGGTCGCTGGTCGGGAGGAAATTTGATGATCGTTGGTGGTCAGGCGTAAGTCCGACGATAGTTGGTGGTCGAGCAAAAGTCCGGCCAAAGTCTGGCAATGGTCAGTAGCAGGGAAGAAATTTGACGATAATTGATGGTCGGGTGGTGTTCGAGGAGCTTTGTATGAGGGGCTATTTATAATTTTTGGAATGGCATGACTAGTAAATATGATGAAGGTCAAGGGCAAGTTGGTAGTGTTTCCAATGGACGATCGATATCAACTCCCTTGATCATTGACCGTTTATCGAGTATTTGAGTGTCTTTATGATGTCAAAATTCCAAAAATCTTGGGCTCGTTGGATTCATCTTGTCGAGCCGCTCGATTTGACTATAAGCATGTCACATTTGGTGATCATTTAGTCATCCAATGTATGATTTGAACCTTCCAAATACGCTTTGGGTCATCGATTTGGGCCCTTTGGACTCGGATTGAGTCAAATTTAGAGTCGTTAGACAGAAATTCACTTCGACTATCAGTTTGCTAAAATCAGAGTTCGGATGGTCCCAGATTTAATTTTGGAGGTGAAAACTTCCAAAATTAAAATTTCTAATGATATATCAGTTGCCCTTCTATTTTCAGACGTTGAAGCCTGCATAGTCGGAATATATGTGTTGAAGTTTTTCGAATCGTTCCAATGCAAAATTATAATTTCCAGGTAATTACGAAGCGCAACCACTCCCTGGACGTTAATGTGGCCTTCCTCTCGCGGCCTTGAACCAAGTAAAATACCCTTAATTATAATTTTAGACTGTTTCAAGGTCGGCTTAGTGATCGGGATACAAATTCTCGAAAAATTGCACTCCAATACTATTAAATTTGCTCAAAATCTACTACATAAGCTTTGTTTGGATCTGAAAATGCCAAAATTTAATCCGAATCATAGAAAAATGGTCACGGTGATCCCAAAAATATCTGAATTGGACTGTCCAGGCCAAAAATCGGGATCCATCTTTTTTTTAATATTGAGGCGAATTTTTTTAAAATACAAAAATTGAAAAATTCTGAAAATTTTTAGAATATTTTTCTTCTCTCCAAATATTCTTTTTTTTTCAGAATATTCTTCTCCTAGAATTTTATTATTCTCCCAATATATTCTTAGTCTCACAGAATATTCTTATTCTTCAAGAATATTCTGTCTTTCAGAATATTTTCTCAGAATATTCTTATTCTCCCAAAATATTCTTATTCTCCCAGAATATTCATATTCTTTCAGAATATTCAATTAGAATATTCTTATTTTCTCAGAATATTCTTATTCTTCCAGAATATTCCTTTTCTCCCTTTTCACCTATAAATACCCCCGAGGCAGGAGAGACATTGCATCATTTCTTCTTCTCTTCTCCTTCTCCAGTCTTCTTACAGTAGAGGCCTTCCACTGTCTTGAATAGATAGCATCCTCTATCAAGTAAAAGTCTCTCTTTGTGTAGAAGGTTCATCTTCTTCTTTTCTAGATTTGTTCTAACATTAGAGGCATTCCACTGTTTGAGATAGGTGGCATCCCCTATGAAGCTTCAGTGCCCATATTTCATGTAGAAGAAACTTTATATCAAAAAGGCTATGAGGCATGCCCCGATATTTTACATAGTGAAACATAATACAACTATGTACTCACTATCAATTCCAACAAAATGAAGCACATAAAAAGTACATGTTACACATAGATTTGTACTGAAAAAATAGCACATAGTGAATACACATCTATGTGCTCCGATAATATGCATGTAGAGCTACGAGACTTTATCCACATGTAAGAGTTTCTTGCTAAAGATAGGATAACACAACAAAAGAGGGGTCCGCTAGGGGTGTCAATTTTTTACACGGCCCGATACCCGACCCGAAAAAATTTGGGTTCGTGCCAACCCGTTTGTTAAACGGGTCGGGTCCAGGTTCGAATTTCTGACCCGTTTGAAAAACGGGTCGGGTTTGAGTTGACCCAACAACCCGTGGGTCGACCCGGTTTAACCCAAAAATTTGATTTGTCGCATCATGCCAGTGTTGTCGAGTCTGTTAGGCCGTCGCGTCTAGCAGCGTCACGCAGTTTACGTCGCGTCAAGCCGTCGTGGCGCTGTGCAGGCCGCTCAAACGCTCCACTGCTCCGCCTTGCCAGTCGCCAAGCCGCAGAGGCGCAGCCTCGCAGACCACTCCTTCCCTCGACCTCGACCACGGTAGGGTTCGACCCAACGTAGCCACATAGACCGCTCCGCCTCGACCAGTTGACCTAGCCAAGTCGCCCAGTAGCCACGTCGGCCAGGCCCTACGCTGCTACGCCTGCGTGAATGACGACTCAGCGACTGCACCCGCAGGTTCTCAGGTCGGGTCCGGTTTGATAATCTTGACTCGTTTAGCTAAACGGGTCGGGTTCGGATCAACCTGTTATGCCCGGGTCAACTCGAGTTGGACCCGAACTTGACCCGTTGACCCGAATTGACACCCCTAGGGTCCGCGTGCAAGTAGTGAAACTGGGTGCAAGTTTGGATTCCTAGGTTTGGAGAGATAAGCATTGGTGATTGTCACATGTGAGTTGTTGGTGTGATTGCATGTTTGAAACGAAGGCACGATTGCAATCAGAGGTGCAGATAGCATAGCATGAAGAAGGGTAACATGAATATCATGACTGGCATGTGTGAGGTAGAGACATTCGTGTGTATTGAAGGAGGGGTTTTCATGGGAGAAAGTCAAAAAATGGTGTTTGCAAGAAATAGAGCATGTGAGCAAGTTGACGATATCAAAGGAGATGGGTACTAGGGAGAACACAAAGAAATAAATAGCTAAGTGAGCAGGATTGTGGGGTTTAAGTGGATTCAAAACTGCGTGAGCAAAAGCAAATGCAAGCACTAGAGCATAGGGTGGTGGTTTAGTTTTCATAAGAAAAAAGCTCTTGGGAAGAACTCGGCATGCAGGATTGTGTGTGAGGAAGGCAAGGTCGTGGAAAGTTGTCTAGGGCATGATGGGTTGCATGGCATGTATGGGTTTTTTTAATTTATTTATCTTATTAAACAATATATGTAAGTATGCAAGCATGCAATCAAGGAATCTCAATTGCATGGTAAAATTTATGATAGTAGTCAATCAGTAAATCAACATAAAACAATATTATACAAGGAAGAAATAAAACAAAAAACATGCCTTATATTTGTCTAGATTCTTCAAAAAAATTGTTAGGGCTCCATGCCCACCCATTGAATGCCCAAATATGGAAGCTTTTGAAGTGTCAAGCTGTTTGAAATTTTCATCAAGAAGTTTTGGCAATTCAAGATTATACAAGGAAGAAATAAAACAAAAAACATGCCTTATATTTGTCTAGATTCTTCAAAAAAATTGTTAGGGCTCCATGCCCACCCATTGAATGCCCAAATATGGAGGCTTTTGAAGTGTCAAGCTGCTTGAAATTTTCATCAAGAAGTTTTGGCAATTCCTTGACAACATAATCATACATACGCCAGTTTTTCCACTTCTCTTCTGTTGCATTTAAATAAAATCCAGCTCCTAAATAAAAGAAAATGAATATTAGCATCAATCAGAGATAAGAAAATTGCAAAGATGACTGGCTTCAGATACAAATTGACTTAGCTACTTGAAGATTACGGATCTACCAAAAGAAATCAATCTGACAATCTTACTTCAGATTTTCTTAATAATAAGAATTAGAAGAAGAACACATTTTCTCTGAATTCAGCCACAATTTCCAAAAAAAGGCAGGAAAATGAGAGGTTTGACGCATATTAAATGACAATATTTCAACCACCAAAATATAAATTTGGCAGCAGATTTTCCTATCTTTCTTCAAGTAAAACATGTACAGGCAAACAAATGTCTCTTCTTATCAAAACCTTATGAGATGACATACTTCACTAATTAAACAAGACCATTTGATAAAATCATTGAGAAGCTTTTTAAGGGCCAAATTGATCGTCATGGAGTGAGAGGCAATGACACTGTTATTTTGGACATGGTTACTATTCACACACGCGCACACATGCATTATATATTTCTATATATAGACACATTTATGCATTACATTTATAATTTATGTAATATTGAATAAAACAGTCTTTTACAACTCGGTTTTGATTATGGTAGTTTAATAGCATCGATTTAAAGATTCCATTTCAATTTTGGCTTGGCTTATTTTTTATTGTCATATGTTAAAGGTACAAAACAAATAGAATTATCTAACTGAGGTTCAAATTATACATAAATTTTAATGAAATTTCATTCAAAGCATATTAGTTTAATGATTTTTGATGTATTTGATGGGCCTTAGTAATTGAATTCTAATAGAACTTTGATTACTGCTCAAGAATTTTCATGAAATTTCATTGAAAGCATATTAGTTTTGGGTGAAACTCCTTAAGTTTCATCTGAAACATCATTGAAACTCTCAAGAGTCAGCTTAACTTCCCAAAATCAGATGAATAGAAATATTAGTTGATTTCTAATCGATTTAACAGATATCTACACAAAACGACTAAATCTGCAAAAATTTAAAACCATGGTCTAAACATACCTGTGCATGCATACCACATGAATAAAAGTACATAAAATGCAATATAATAATATATTCAAATAATTAAAATTATAATAAATTATAATTTTATTATGTACAATACATCTTATATTTATAAGAAATTAATACTTTATTATATAATACATTATGTATCACATTATTTCATCTATATTATTTAAGAATAAATTAATATATAATATATTAATTATTAATATTGTATGATTATCGCTACATTTCTTTTAAAAATCTACACAATTATTTGGAGCCCGTACTAATAGGTGGTCCAATCAAGTTTTAGAGGGTGCCATCTATTTTTGCTTGGGAAGAGTTTTTATTAGTCCACCTAATTAAGTGATGATTTGATATGAGTTTTTACCTAATTTTTTTTAGGAGTATAGCATGTCTCTTCCCTATATAATTTTAATGTACATTATAATGCATTTTGTCATTATTATATAATCCATAAATATGTTTCAATGTATTTGTGTGTATGCATGTATGAGGGACATTATATGATGCAATCATTAAGTCTGCAATTCATGCCAATTAATTCTTAATTTTTGTTTACTTTTTCATTTCAAGTATAAAAACGTGTTAAAATCTCAACCGCCCCTTGGCCCTTGATCCCACAGATAGGATGGGGATCCATGAGAGGCTCACATGGATCACGTCGATCTCCTTTCATATTCGGGTGGTTGATTTAGGAAGGATTAAATTAGGAAAATTATGCATGATTCCATATGTAGTTGTTTCTTTATTAAGATATCTTGTATAGATCAATAAATATGGATAGTTTTGTATAATGAAATTAAAAAGCCTTTCCCTCTCCAATTATCTGAATTTAACAAAACTTATCTATAATGAAGGCACTTATATGATTGGAAAGTGCTCTCTAATATTTTGAATTGTTTGTTTAGTCTAACTCATTACTACATGGTTTCAACTCAAGCCATGAAAGTTTAACCAGCATCTATGGAGTTAAGAACCACTACCACAGAGTGAATGGCTAACTATACTCAAATTTCTTTCCTCAGGTTGTCAGCTCAAGTGTCAAAACTATATATTTATTTAGTTGTTTTTTATAGTGTTTCCCTCGTTTTCCCTATTAAAAAGCGCTGTTGCGTCTTAGTTGCACACAAATAAAATTCATAATATTCCCTCATGTCTACTTCTATGATAATTCCTTCTAAGACCTTTAACTAACCTACATCACTATAATTCCAGGAAAATGAAAGTATCATATTTGACGACTCAAGAAAATATGAGCCAGAAGTCAAATGGCTAAAAATTGTACTAGACACACCCCAGGGAAGAAATAAATTTTCACTTCCTCCAACAAAACAGCTGAAGTGATCAACTTCCCCACTTTTCTGATAGACCGGTACCTGGATCGGTCCAGTCAGTCCAATCAGGACCGGTCCAGGTGTACAAGAGGCGGAACATAGGATTTCCACCCCCTTCATTGCCCCTCAACCCATGTGGGGTCCACAAGATTAATTAGGGGGATTTGGGAGGGAAAAATTCAAAAAGAATGGGCTGTTTTGGGATTTAGCTGTTTTGGGATTTAGCCTAATTATTGTATGCTTAAGTAGGTTTTGGAGGCTAGGGTTAGTTTTTTTTCATCTTTGTTTTTGCTGTAATTTTTTGGTCCTTAGTTTTTGCTTGGGCTCTGGCGGCGTATAGAGATTTGGGAGAACCAGATCTTCCTCTCCAATTGTAGATCCCTTGTATCTTGTTGTTTTTCTCATCTATTATCAATTAAGAAGTTCAATTCTGGTTTTCCTTCCAAGTTCTTCTCAACTTCTATTTTGCAAGGTGTTGAAATTAAATTTAAGCAAGGGAGACCATTGTTTCCTACAACCGTTTCCTAACAAATTGGTATTAGAGCCCTTCGATCTAGGGTACCAATGGCCGGAAGGAGAGTGGAAATGTTGGAAGGGGAACTAGGCCAATTGAAATCAGATTTTGAAAACCAATTTGCATCCATCCATGAAAAGATGGATGAAAAGTCTGTCATCGTGGAAGAAATGCTGAAGAAATTGCTCGAAGTCAAACCCAAAACGATGACATCTAAGACAAGGGAAGCTACCGACAACTAAGGAAGTGGAGGAAACCCAAATCCAAAATCAAGAGGTAGAAATTTTGGAAGGAGAAATAGGATGCCTCCTCTGAAGCTTATTTCTAGGGAGGATATGAGTATTGGGTTTGAGCGAAGAGGTGCTGATTTTGCAAGAAAATGGGTGGATTATGAGCACAGGGGTGCTGATTTTGAAATGAAGGGGGATTTTGAAGAAGGATTTGGGTACGAGCGCAGAAAGGAGGATCGAGACACTTGGGGAGCATCTCCCTTTCAGGGAATGAAAGGCTTTGGAGGATTCAGGGAAAACAGAGGTGATCCAAGGGTAAGGAAGTTGAATATGTCTATCTTTGAGGGCAATGATGCACATAGGTGGATCTATAAGGTAGAGAGTTTTTTTTTCCGTCAATAGGTTGACGGAGGAGAACAGACTAACGGCAGTTGGTCTGTGTTTGGAGGGGCAGCCATTGGCTTGGTACTAGTGGAGAGACATGAGGCGGCCCATTCAGAGTTGAAGAGAGTTCAAGGATTGCTTGCTCAAACATTTCCAAACCAACAAGGGAGGAGATTTTTATGAGCAATTCTTAGCTTTGACACAGGAGGGCTTTGCGGTGGAGTACAATGATAGATTTGAGTACCTAGCTAACTGACTTAACTGGCTTTCTGAGACCGTGCTGAAGGGGAACTTCATGAAGATGCTCAAGACTAAGATTTGGGTGGCTGTTAGAGTGATGAGGCCGCGTGACTTGGTGGAGGCTACGAACTTTCCTAGCTCCCAAGGGACTAGCATCAGGAAGCCTTTTTGAGGCCCGAAAAGAGAAGCCTGTAAGAGGGGGGTTCGGGGGAAACTTCAAGAGGCTCACTAAAAAGGAGCTGCATGAGAAACGGGATTGTACTTCACATGGGTTTAGGGATTGTACTTCAGCTGTGATGAGAGCTACACGCCGGGGCACAAGTGTAAGGACCGAACTCTTCAGGTTCTCACCGTCTGTGATGACGAGGAAGCTGGGAAGGAAGGTGAGAGTGAGGCAGTGATAGAGGAAGAGAATGAGATGCATCTTGACATAGCCGAAGTCTCCTTGAACTTAGTGGTGGGGTTTACCTTGAATCACACGATGAAAGTGAAAGGATAAATAGCAAATAAAGCGGTGGTGGTGTTGATCGACAGTGGGGCTACCCACAATTTTATCTTCAACCAGGTTGTTGACCAAGTGGGGGTGAAATTGATGGACATCGGGGACTATAGGGTGATGATGGGCACTGGGATGGTGGAGATAGGTAGAGGAGTGTGTAGGGGAGTTGTGTTGACTATACAGGAGATTCAAGTGATGGAAGAATTTTCTCCTATTGGAGTTAGGGAGCACTGATATTATCTTGGAGATGAAGTGGTTGCAGAACATGGGAGATAACAGGGTCAATTAGGGAGCACTAACGATGGAGCTGGTGGTGGAAGGAAGAAAGATGGTGATACGGGGAGATGCGGGGTTGTCCAAGGCCATGATGTCTCTAAAAAATATGGTCAGGACCATATAGGAGGTGGGAGGAGGATTTATAGTGAAACTTCAGAGCTAAGAAGGGATCAGACTAGAGGAAAGGGGGGACATCTCTCTTTCAGTACAATCACTCATACAACAGCTCTGTGAGGTTTTCAACCATCTTAAGGCTTACCACGACCGAGGGAGCAGGAGCATGTCATCACCTTAAGGGAAGAGGTGTCACTGATTAGTGTTCGGCCTTACCGCTACTCCTAGATTCAGAAGGACAAGATAGAAAAGCTGATCCGAGAGATGCTGAAGGCGAGGATCATCAGACCGAGTGTGAGTCCTTTTTCTAGCCCATTCTTGCTGGTCAAGAAGAAGGATGGGAGAAAGAGATTCTATGTTTATTACCGGGCTCTAAATAAGGAGACTGTGCCGAACAAGTTTCCCATACTGATGATCAATGAGCTACTAGATGAGTTGTGTGGAGTAGTGGTGTTTGCCAAGGTGGATCTGAAGTCGGGATACCATCACATAAGGATGAGGGAGGAGGAGGTCCCGAAGACTGTTTCCAGGATACATAAGGGGCATTACGAGTTCTTAGTGATGTCATTCGGGCTTGCCAATGCCCTTGCCACCTTCTAGTTTCTCATGAATTGTGTGTTCAAACCATATCTCTTGAAGTTCATACTAGCTTTCTTTGATGACATAGTGGTGTACAACAGGTCAATAGGGGGGTATTTAGAGCATATGAGGGTGATCTTGGAAGTATTATATGAGCATCAGCTGAGGGCCAACCTAAAGAAGTGTTGCTTTGTACATACCAGTGTAGAATACTTGGGGCACGAGGGTGTGGCTGCATATCAGGATAATATTGATGAGCACCATAGATGGTTGTCAAAGCTATCAGGCTATAATTTTGAATTCATTACAAATCAAGATTGGAGAACAAGACAGTGGATGCATTGCTAGATGCATAGGGTAGCTCCATAAGCTGGCTATGTCAATATTGTTGATGCTGGATTGGGGGGCTATCAAAAAAGTGAGTGTGCCGTATGAGGCGTTGGAAAAAATTAGAGCAAGTCTTTTGAAGGTTGAGAACAGTCACCTGGGCTGCTCTTTAGAGGGGGAGAGACTAATATACCAGGGGAGGTTTGTGATGCCACGGGCTTCAGTTCATATCCCACAGCTGGTGCAATAGTTCCCCGGGCGCGTTGTTGGAGGTCACTATGGGGTACATAAGACATATAGGAGGCTGGCAGCATAGTTGTTTTGGAAGGGGATGCACAGTGATGTAGAAGAGATGGTGGCTAGATGTAGGGTGTGCCAACGAAATAAGTGCATGGTCATGGCTCCTGGGGGTTACCTCAACCCCTAGATCTACCTGACAGGGTGTAGGAGGAGGTCACCATTGACTTTATTGATGGGTTACCTTGATCGGAAGGGTTTATTGTAATTCTAGTGGTAGTTGATAGATTGAGCAAGTACGCTCACTTCATCCCCTACAACAACCTTACACGATAGCAACAGTAGTGACTGCATTCATCAGGAAGGTGGTCAAGCTTTAAATAATACTGGAGTCTAAAGTATATGATAGAGATAAGGTGTTCCTCAGTCATTTTGGAGAAAATTATTCAGGCTACAAGGGACAATGCTGAAGAGGAGCACTGCTTACTTGCATCTATATAAAATACACCACCTTACAGAATGTGCGCCAATTGAACTGCAATTTCCAATCACACAAAAAACACATCTTGATATAAAATGCACAGGAATACTTGAAATTTTTTTGTTTTTATTTAAAAACAAGGGAGATGAATTTTTTCAACTAACAGATTTCTGTTTTGATTTGGAATTTCAATCATGCCTCTTTAACACAAAGGCATTGGTCACTCTGAGGTGTTTAAGCTTACCAAAAGAACACGTGATTTGTAAAATTTTCTTAGAGACACTACTGCATGGAACTTAATCGCAAAAATAAAAGCAAGAAAATTGAAAATGTCAATGTTGCATTTTGAATAAGCAAAAACTTAAAAAAGCATAAGAGAAATAATTATGAAAAATAAACATTTGACAAGTTAAAAGTCCATATAAAATCAATTATTTCATTCCTACCAACACCAAAATCCCAGCTGTCAGCCTCTCCATCTATGTTTAGTCCCCCTAAATAAAATAAAAAATATACAGTTAATAACAGCTACTGAAATGAGCGAAAAAAGCAAAATAATCACTTAAAAAAGTATTAGGGCTGCTGCAGACACTGAAGGTGATACATATCAGGAACAACTTCAACAATCGTGAAGTGGAAAGGAAGAAATGAAAGAATGCAAAATGGAAATAAGACAAAAATATGAAGTACAGTCAGCACACACAACTTTCTAAAACATATGCACTGCAATAAACTGGCACTAGCCAATCCTACCATTCATAATGGCAGCCGAATCAATATAATTGCCTTAACATTATGCGAAACACTTCAGAAATTCTATGAGTTGAAACTCAATAAAGCCAACCCTTTACAGCATTTCAATTGCAAATTCCTAGACAAGGCCTTGGAAGATGATTATTTAGAATTTCAAGTCTATTTTTTTGGTTGCGTGAATCAAAGGTTTCTGAGTTCCCAGGTGAATGTGTAATTCAAGCAAGAACACGTGTCTTGGTTTGTTTCCTGTACTCAACCTTAGTTCATTCTGATGGCGTTATAGGTCTTCTAGAATGCCAAAAATGTGATTAATGCAAGAGACCTTCAGTTGTCTTTTGTTCCGTTGTATAACATAATGTTGCGTTGTGGTATACTGGGGTAAAGTGGTTAATTGTGTGATAAAATATTAAGGCTTATGTCTAAAGTGTAAAAAGACCAGTGATTTTTTGTAAAAAAATATTGTGACACTGCTCTGAATTGATTAACTGATACAGTTTTTGGCAAATTACCAAAAGTATCATTCTAAGAAAGCTACTTTTCATCTTTCATGAGACTAGACTTTTTATCACCAATCTTTTACCAAACACCTTATACTGCTTCTGCTATTAAAAGAAGCAGAAACAAACAACTGAAAGCTATGCCAAACCAAACGGAGCTTTAATTTGGTATATGCAGAAAAAATGGTTTTCAAAGAGGGTGGGCTCGAATTTACGAAAGGTTGTAACTCACTTGGAGAAGTATCAGGTGCAACCAAAGCAATCATTTCGGCAGAAGCTGCCCGCTGGGCTCCAGATTTCATAATGAAATTCTCATCAGTACATGTCAGCCCGGATAGCCAATAAAGGACCTGCCAGCAATAATTTATTTTAGCAAGTAATATACTTCAACTTTTGGCTTTTAATAGGACACAATGGAGAAAAAGGATTCATGTAGCCGACCCCACGTAGTGGGATAAAGGCTTGATGTTGTTGTTGTTGTAAGTAATATACTTCAATTTACACATAAAAGCAGCTCATCCGGAACACATTTTGAATAAAAGTGGTAAGAGCTTAACAAAGAGAGCTTCAACTGAAACCGTGTCTCACAAAATTGTGTCAGAAATAAGAAGATTAAAGGTCTATAACAAATTTCAACCTAAATATGCATAAATACAAGCTGTCTAATTCGATATGAATGATGGCCTGCAAGCAATAAGAAAAATGTGCATGTTTATACCCTAGGAACCACTTGTAGAATTGATGAAAAATTGAATCATATATTAAAAATACATAAGAATTTCCATTTTATATGCTAGTTTAACAGTCAGAATGCATTGAAGCAGCTCCTTTTTGTTCTAAGCAAAATCGCTACAATTCTTTTAGACACTTGACTTGGGAGCTTTTTCATATTGTCATAGTTATTAATAGTCTGAGTCTATTTTAAAGCACACATTTCCAGTTTAAGTAGATTTATGAAAGCCCGTTGAATACAATACAGCTGCTAGTACATAAGATAACTCCAAAACATTCCCAGCATTGTGCATACTTCTTAGCCACTTTGTGAAGTTTAAAAAGAAGCCTCTCATATAACTCGTTCATTAGAATTACTCTTTCACTAAATATGAAAGGCTCTCTTCCCCATGGGTTAAGGGTACTAGTAAAGTGAATGCATCAAAACGATTCGCATCACCACTTGTTCCTCACCAATAATTTGTTACTTTTGTCAAAAATGCATTCCCCACCTGAGTAGAAATGATGGATAAAGGGAACAATAGCCAAGTAACTCTTTTTAAAGATTATATTTAAATAGCAGAATAATTTTTTGAATACTTTGTCTTTATTCCTGCATAAAACACACCCCTCAGTTCTGCTCTAGATGAGTTAAAAACCTGTCATTGCCCCATGTTTTGAAATAAAGTTGACCCTTAAGCTTTAATTTTGGTTTTGAAATGAAACATCCCAAATACCACGGTAAAAGAAATAAGCTGACAAGGCTTCATGGAAACCATGATTGAGTAATGGGAAAAGCCCATAAATCAAATTTATATAGTGTTTAAAGGCTGAGAAAAGTGAAAGGCTAGTGTGTGTGGTGTATACAGCCCACTAGGGAGGTGATGTCACGCACTTGATTTTCCTCTATTATACTTCTCCCACACAATTCACCATCTTGAGGTATTTGATCCGGTGGAAAACCAATAATTCCTAGTGCAGTTTATATTGTTAGGAGCACTGCACGAATGGTGGCAATCTTCAATCCTGTTTAAACCACTCAAACAGTGTGCCTTTTGTATATGTGAATTTATATTGGCATCAGAGCTATAATTATTGTGTTCCTCGAACCATTCTTTTTAATTCGGTGGAGTTTGTCTCCAATTTAGATAGGAACAGATTTAGGGAGGACTGTGGTCCTCACCACTAGGAATGGGATAACTCTCATGTGTTCATGAACAGCATGGAAGCTCTTCACATCACATCTCTTTTGTTATGTATAGCATAAAAGCTTTGCCCCTAAATCTGAGATAAATCCTTTTGCCTCTTACTTTAAATTCAAGTTTCTCCACTAAATTTAGACAACACCTTGGAAACTCCAGCAAACAACATATGGTCAAGTGGTCAACGTTTGTCAATTGAATAACAACATACAACAGAAAATCATTAGTAGGAGCTGAAAGTAAGCATATGTCAACATGAACAACAAGACAACACTAAATGTTCCACAATTCATGAAGTTAGATGATTCAAGTTTAAGGTTTTCTAATGCAACTAATATGATGCGATGTTTGTAAATCTTGCAAGGAAATTTAATAAGATGAAAATTGCTAGCCACTAAATAAGTCACAACTTATTTCCTTTTAATGTATATATTCAATTAAATTATAACTCAAACAATAAAGTAATGATCCAATAAATTCGAACAAATTCAATATAAGAATCAAGAAAAACCAATGGGCAATTGCAACTTAATCGCCACAAATAGAATTCTAATCCTGTCAAACTTAAAAAAAATAAATCAAGAGCATGGGCAAGCCAATAATAAAATATGCAGAAGAAATTATGTTTAGGAAAAAGCTCATCCAAGTAAAAAATCTAGGTCTCATGCCACTATAAGAAAATGACTTTTCTCAAAATTTGATGAACCACTTTAGTATTAATTTAAGAAATACATATCCAAGTTGCACGCATAAGATTAAAACATGAAAAAAAAAAATGTTACTAAATTAAAGATAATAAATTACATCACTCAAAACATCTACTTATAGACTCATCATCTTTAAGCTAGTAGATATAGTGGCAAAAAATCAGTCCAACTTGATTTCAAATAACCCTCAAGTTCAAATTTTAACTTTATCCAAAATCCAAAGCAGCTAATATTAAATCAACAACATAACTGTTTTCCTGTGAATAGAAGCTCGAAATAGAAAATTCATGAAATAGAAACGCACACGTAGCAGCATCCTCAAATAGAGGCTCCTAAATAATAGCAGAATGAAAACTAGAATAATAGCTCGTAACAATACTCATTGGAATATCGGGCAGTGATATAATTGGTTGTTCCACATCAACCCAATTTCTCTCCATCAAGCTTATAAAATCATTGAAGCCATAAGCCTGACTTGCCTTCGACTCCCTTGCATCCCATTTAGATCCAATCTACACTCGCTTTGCAAGAGTCTCCCATGTTGTTCTTTATTTGCCTCAACGACGAGTCACTTATTTTTGTTGAACCCTATAATAATTTGTATCTCACCTAATTTTATTTTGGCATCTCCTTTTATTTGATTTTATATGTTTATACCAATTAACTATAGAGTCAAAATATAAAGCAGATTGTAGACTTTGAATTTTATATTTTATTTTAATTTTTCTTACATTAAATTTTAAATCATATTTTTTATTTATGAAATATTAAAATAATAAAATTTATGGAGCCTAAGCACCATACCTCAAGGCTTATGCAGGCAATTAAAACAGCTATGCCTTTTTAAATAATGGACACAATTCTAGAATTTTGTGATACAAACAACTATGGGTCTATGCATGTAAATTTAGTTGATGCTTGATAAAATTCCATATTTTATCTCAAAACTTGTGAATGCAAATGGATGTGAATTCTTTAAGTGTGGTATAAGTCTTGATGACAACTTTAGTAGGAAGCTTCTCCATGTATAAGCACATGTATCAATCTTCTATTTTATGACTTGTAATTTTATTCTTTTACATCTATGTATTTTTTTATTGGTTTTGAGTGCGATTAAAATTTGATCAAATCTACTACAATCTAATTTTCTTTTAGCAGTGTGAATACTAAATGTTACATTGATATTTCGCTCTCAGATTTTCTTGGAGGATTTCAAATTTAGACAATAATTAATTATCATTTAGCGCAAGTTTACGTGTTTTCTAATTTACATCAAAAGATATATCTAATAAACATGCCCAAATATGGATCATTCTTCTATAAATATGATGACTGTCATTGATGTAGAACAGGGAGGAGGATTGAATCGTAAGGGTCTTGAAGAGCAA